TACGACGGACACGGCGTTGTCTTGTTGACAGCTTGGGATGGGAGGATGGACTAGGGCGAGACGATTATTGACCGGCCATTTGATCGGACGGACGGATGGATTGGTGCTGATGAATTCATGGTGGTTTTTGACGATGATTGTGCGATCGATAGATTTTAAGATGGTTTTCTTGTTCGTTTACAAGTTTGTCTATATGTGCGCATAACTTCTGTTTATATATGTTTATGACACCTTACGAATTCCAGTCCTGTAGGGTACTTGCACTCTTCGTTCTTATAAATCGAAGGAACGGAATAGTGAAAAAGGAGATGGGAGAAGCAAATGGAGAGGGAGGTCGTGTGTTCGATCCGCGTTGTTGTTCTGACAAATTGCAAGTAAAGTAACGGAATAGGGAAAGGAAGATGATGGGAGGAAGGGAAGTAGTGTGTGATTGATCAGCGTCCTCCTGTAAGGATGCAACGCAACGCAACGCAAATTTCGTGTGCGCGAGAGGGCAGCCGGTCGGTTAACTGTGCGAGATTCGTTTCGCTTGTTCCTTTAGCGTCGTCGAAAGACTCTGGCGATGTAAATCAAAGGAGAGCAGGTGCGTAGCGAAAGCGATTCGATGGGAGAGAGGTAGTCGGGAAGAAGAGCGAGTGGAAGGGAGAGGATAGAGTGCGTGCGGAGGAAGCGAGGGGAGGGCGGAGATGTGGAGACATAGGAGGAGTGGTCGTCGTCGTCGGAAACGAGTTGTTCGGTTGCGTTTTTTGTTCTTCGTTTCTTTTCAATTGGAATATTTTTGATATTACCTTTGGTGATTTGGAATTAGGTTTTGCATATTATCTTAGTTCGCCCTCTCTTTGGAGGGTTGTGGAAGCGATGATGTCCCGGCATTATCGAGAGTTTCTCGACCGCGGAGTCAAACGTGGACTTCTTTTCACAGTGAGGCACGAATGGCGCGCTCGTGAGGAAGTTTATCTTTGACTTCGAAAGTCGACAGTTTTACAAGGTGGGAGAAATTACTGTGGGAGAAATTACTTAGCACTGGTTGTTAGATTGTTCATTCAATTATGGTTACGGTTCTTCGCGAACATTACTGTATTAGGGGAAAAAAGGGAATGTGGATTCTTGGCCGTTCCGGCGGCACACGTTGGCGCGCAGTCTACACCCAGACACGTCGGCGCGCATTCTACACCCACCGAGAACGGTCCTTTATCGGGGCTTTCTTTCAGGATGTTCATCTTTTCACACGCGACTTGTGCGCTGAAGGTTCGTCTCTCAAACGCGCGACTTGGCGGATGACAGTACGTCTCTCACACGCGACTTGTTTGCTGAAGGCTCGTTCGTTTCTGACTCGAGATTTGTCTGAAGGCGTCGGCGGGAGAGACTCTTGTGCTCTGCTGCGATAGGCAGAGTCTGTTGTGCGGAGAAGGACGCACTCGCGGGCGATACTTTGTGTGCGTGGGTTCTTTGCGCAGGGGCCATGGTAATCTCCTTGGCAGTCTGTTGTGCGGAGAAGGACGCACTCGCGGGCGATACTTTGTGTGCGTGGGATCTTTGCGCAGGGGCCATGATGGTAATCTCCTTTGTATCGTTCCAACTTGAACGGATGTCCTCAAGGACATGCGGACGGTACTTTGTGCTCTAGCGGTTTGTGCAGTCAGTCAGTACCCTGTGATTTTCCTCTGTTTATGTACGTATTACGGGCCTGGCTTCACCACTCCCCAATTGTGAAGAAACACAAGGATGGCTGGCGGGCGTGCCTTCTTTCCTCCTTATGTACCTCAAGACACACCCGCCCGTTTTCCAGATTTGGCGGACAATGAAGCGAGGCCCCATTCCTGTGCATGCGTAAATTGTGAGGAAATCAGTATGTGCAGCTTGGTGGTGGGTGATAAGCCTAGGGCGGAAGGGGCGGGGGGGGGGGGGGGGGGGGGGGGGGGGGGGGGGGGGTTTGCGTTGTTTGGCATCAGGAGGAGGTGATGTGTTGTCAGTCATTTGGCCTCTCCCTCTTGAGGGTGGAGGAAAGGAAAAGGTTATTGATAGGGGGGTGGTAATGATGGTGGCGGTGATGATGATGAAGGGGGGTAGGTAATCATTATTTTTCGAGTAGCTTGCGTATTATTCCGTTCGCGCGCACGTGGCGGACGACTCTGTAAATGACTGCAAGGGCACGTTCTGGTGGCGTCTGTCGAGGGATGAAGTGGGGTGCTCTTTGAGGGTCGGAGGCTGGTGCGTGCGGACGTTGGATGGGGAAGATTTCCGGGGTAGTCGCGAAGGAGTGGGGAGGCGGGGGGGGCGGTGGGGAGGGAGGGGGGCGCGCGGCCGGCCACCTGGCAGAGGTGTTGCCAGGCTGGAATAGCGTCGAGTTGGCAGTGATTTATCCACTCTGGCGTCTCTGCCAGGGCTATATGGCCGCCTGTACCCCCTCCTGCCCGCGATGTGTGGCATATTATTCCATCTTGTGACTAACGAATTGTGTGAAATTAATTACAACGCACGTCTTTGGGTCGTGATTTGTTGGATTGGAAAATACTCTGCAGATGTATTTATTGATGGAGGTGGTTAAGCGTTGGTTGTTACTGTGGATGGCGGTGAATGAATGCGTGTGTAGAGCAATATATTGTCCGCGAAATGTATGGCACGGTATTTCTACACCTCGCTCTGTATATGTTCACGTATATTTTCTCTTCCATTTAGTCCTACTGTCTCCCCCGCCTTTGTTCATTTTGTTTTCCGCTCACTCCAACTGGAATTCTGTCATTCCTCTGCGGGGGAAGAGGAGAGCAGAGCAGAGAGATATCGAGCGTACTGCCCTCTTCTCTCCTCCCCTCGCTATGGCTTAGTGATAGATACACGCAACACATACGTACATATATGTATATACACAGAGAGAGGGAGAGAGAGACATGGCTCGGCTACTCTGCATGGATTTCATGTTTTGTTCTTAAGTACTGTCCGTGTGGAGTAGAGCTTGATTGCCAAGAATGCACAGATAGTTAAAGACACAGAGAGAGAGAGAGAGAGAGAGAGAGAGAGTGCTGTGCAGATAAGGTTATACGCTGGTCGAACATTGGTTTTGACAGTTTTTGTTCGTTGCAATTACCAATCGTACCGTGGTGCACTTTTTTCGGCTATTATGTTTGTTTGTTTGTTTTTTTTTCGGCTATTATGTTTTCCTCATACGTGGACTAGGTTTACGAATATATTTTTTCGCCGTTGGCACCAGCGTACTCCCATTTGTGAAAGTATCTTGCCTTCGCCCTTCTCATTTTCTGCATCTCTGTGGTTCTTCCCGCTGCGTCAGTCAGTGTAATTTTTTCCGACGTATTTCAACCATTTCCTTCATTTCTTTCGTCTCTTTTTCGTCTTCCGATTGCATCTGGTGCGAATTTGGGTCCGCATTCCAACGGTTCGTGGAGATATCAACTGAGCTAGGCCCGTTGGTTCTCTCTTAGTTTCTCCTTCCGCGTTCGTTCCCTAATCCTGTACATTCATTGGTCCCTCTCCTCCTCTCATTCGTCCTCGTTCCTGTTTTGTTACCTTTCTTTTTTTTTTCTTTTTTTTTTTACCTTTCTCGGATACCCCCCTTCTCTTT